TCAGCAAGCTGGAGATCATGTGCCCTATGTTATACTGCTGGTCACAAGAAACCCCCCAACTGTTCTTAGAACCCAGTTGGGGATAAATACCTCTAAAGTCGGATCATCATCGCTGATTCATGTAGCATAAAGCATTTTTCCCTCATGGTTCTTCTGATGCTTTCATACCCCACAGCTGATTTTAATTTAGCCGTATCGTCTCCTATATTCTGGAACGACGTCCGTACGTACGTAGTACGTACGTAGTGTGTGTGTGTGTGTGTGTGTGTGTGTGTGTGTGTGTGTGTGTGTGTGTGTGTGTGTGTGTGTGTACGCGTGTGCATGTGAGTGCATACACACACACACACAGAGCCAGATGCAACAATCTGCAAGCTGGCGGGGCTGTTGCACAAAAGCAAAATGGGTCACACCTTGACGAGGTGGGCCAGCTCAGCAAACTTGTTGAGGGCCGTCCGAAGCGACTTCGGTGCCACGCCTTCCTTCTGCGCACGTGGCAACCAGCAGGGAAATGGAACGAGATGAGCGGACAGTGAGATGCGGGAGACGGCGTTTAGAGCGAAGGTTGTGTTTTGGCACGTGTGCCTTTCCAATCGGTGATTCGGTCAGGCCAACAAACGGGAGAGCCGGAGAACACAGGCGGCACGACAAAGCATGGGCCAGCTTCCAAACCTTCTTGATGACTTTGAGGAGGGCCACTTGTAGGATGGGAAGATGAGCTTCCATCAGATTCTGTACAGCAGACACGAGAGAGACAAAGAAATGCACACACACACACGCACACAGCCAGAAACGCGTGTCAGCACATGAACAGCACCACACGATCTCTCGCTGCGTTAATGTACAAGGCGTGCTTACCCCAGCGCAGCATGGCGTTGGTGCTTGCGCATGTACCCGAAGCATACATATGCGCGCACGTGACCACGCACACAGAGTACTGATACACACACACACACGCACATACGCACACACACACGCACATACGCACACACACACGCACATACGCACACACACACACACGCACACGCACACACACGCACACACGCACACATACACATACATGCACCCAGCGACAGACGCACACAACCGCAGCGGACACAGGCGAGAAACGGGAATGAAAAAGGGGTGGCAGACCTTGATCGTGCGATTGAGACACTCGTCTGCTTGCAGACGGACATCGGAGTCAACATCCGCACATGCAATGAGCAAGCCTTCGATGGTCAGCTGCAACAAGCGTTTGAAGTCCTCGCCAGCTCTGCAGCAGGACACATGGTGTACACAGTGCAGCGCAAGACAACATGAGTCAGCCAGTATTTGACAACCTCGCGGACACAAGACATTGGGAAAGCATTTTAGAGCATCCAAAGCATCTCGCGGTAGAAGGCGTACTTGTTCTGTCGAGAGCACACGGCGTCAGACAAGCTGGTGCATGCCGCCATGCGCTCCGATTTCTTCGCTGGCGTGTCATGATTGGACGACTTTGGCGCAGTCTCCAGCAGCGTGTACAGCTTCCGCATGCGCTCGCTCATGGCTAGTGCTTGTAAGCTGCAGGTTCACCCACCACGAGACAAACAATGATCTACCCCTGTCACACTCTCAGCTGGCAACAAGGGCCACGGTGTTGACGCGACGGCAACCCAACTAAGTCCGCCGCCACACTACAACGGCCTGAGTGATGCGCTGTGCTGTTGTGGTGTGGGGGAGGGAAGGGAGAGCAACAACAGCAGCAGACAAATCGACTGGATATGGCCATGCGACAGCATAAATTGGAACCCAAATAAACCACTGACGTGATGATGACTGCGACAGCAGCGGCGTGTCGGCGGTTGGTGGGGCGGGCGGCCGTGGTGACCGGCGCTGGTGCTGGGATCGGAGCTGCCATTGCACGGCGGCTGGCAGAAGAAGGAGCAAGGGTTGCGGTTGTTGATCGCTGCGCCGCTTCCGCAGCACACACCGTCGACGCCATCCAGGTTCGGGGCGCGTGCGCTGTCTTGTGCAGTGCAGTGTGTGCAGTGGTACAGTGTGTGTGTGTGTGTGTGTACTCTGTGTACAGTGTGTATGTGTACACTGTGTACAGTGTGTGTGTGTGTGTGTGTGTGTGTGTGGCTGGACACCATTGGTGTGCTCGCCTGTGCTGATTTCATATCACTCCCACACATCCACGTTCAAACTCACACGCACGTCCTCAGAAAGCAAAAGGCGAAGCTGTGGCCATCACCGCTGACATGCGGGATGAAAGCAGCGTGATTGATGCAGTCAAGTCCAGCCAGGCATCCCTCAACGGCCTTGACATTGTGGTCCGTCAGTGCTGCGCACCTGCGTGGATCCCATCGTCGCTCATGCCACTGCTCACAGCGGCTGTTGCCATGCTCTCGTGCCACTCCACGACTCACTGCGCGCTGCACACGCACACATACACAAATGTGCTGCACACTCTCACACGCTCTAACTACACACACGCACATACACACCACAGGTGAACAACGCAGCGCAGTTCCACTTTGGGTCTTTGGAAGACACGACACTGGAAGACTGGCGTCGATTGCTGGAGACAAACGTCATTGGCTACGCCAACATGATCAAGCACGCTCTTCCCGCCCTCAGAGCCTCTCAACACGCCGCCGTCGTCAACATTGCATCCGTCAGCTCATGTGTGTTTGTTTGTGTGTTTGTTTGTTTGTATGTATGTTTGATTGTGTGTGTGTGTATGTGTATGTGTGTGTGTGTGTTTGTGTGTGTGTGTATGTGTGTGTGTGTGTGTGTGTGTGTGTGTGTGTGTGTGTGTGTGTGTGTGTGTGTAACGATGTCATTCACCTCCATGTCAATCTGTTCGTCGCACCTCGTCCTTGTGACATTGGTGTGCACATTTACCCACCACTCCTCACCACCACCACCACCACCACCATGATGCAGTTGTGGCACAGCCGCAGATGTTTGTCTATAATGCCAGCAAAGGCGGGGTGTTGCAGCTAACGCGGTGTCTTGCCATGGACCTTGCACCGGACACCATTCGCGTCAACGCCGTCTGCCCCGGCTCCATCCTCACCCCGGCAGCTTACAACCACATGGACAATCTTGGTGCGGACCGTGGATGCTGATGTTGGGGCTTGTGACATGCCTTACCAGTGTAGTCAAGTGCAGCGCAGTGCAGTGCTCTCGACACGATGGCACAAACGCACGACTTGCACTCCTCTCACACATGATTCGCTCGGCTTCCCTGCTTGCTCGCTTGCTTCATTGCTCGCTTGTTCTTGCCGCCGTCAGGTCTCGATCATGAAGAAGGCACGAAGGTACATGCACTCAAATTCAACACGGCCGCACGTGCTCTTGCCCTTGCTGCTGCGTGTATGTGATTGATGACATCACGTCCACCGACAGCACACCCACCTCTTCTTCGCGCACACATACACACACACACGCACACACACACGCACACACACACGCACGCACGCACGCATGCGCATGGCAGGAGTTTGCGAGCGCTGCGCTCATGAACCGGTCTGGACAGCCTGAGGAAGTGGCGAGTGTGGCTGCCTTCTTGGCATCCGATGATGCCAGCTTCATGACGGGCGCGCACATTGTCGTTGATGGCGGTGCAACGCTTGACTAGCCGCAAGCAATGAACCAAGACTGCATGCAAGAATCCTTGCATCTCCTCGTTACCTTTGCACCACGAGCATTGTGTACCATCTTTGTTTCGCGCCGTTGCTTTCCATTCTGAATGACACTCCGACTCCTCTCTGTGTGTGTGTGTGTTGATGATCAACATCCATGACCGCCATGAGGCTTTTCTTCTTTCTCGATGCTCCAGTGCGCAGTTGTTATTTCGCGCAAGCAGCTCTGATGATGTGGTGTTGCATGTTCTATGCGGTGTGAATGAATCACAGACATGCACTGACACAAGAAAGCAATCACCTCCCCAGGAGTGATGTGCCAACGAAATCGTGGTGGTAATGGATGCGAGGGCGTGGGGGAAAGCAAACTTGGGGAGAAAGGGTCAAGACGGCTTAGTGAAATGGAAATCCCCAAGAAGACGAAGAAGTGAACAAAAGAGAGGAGCGGCTTAAAACTGCCATCATGGCAGCTGACATGCACGACCAGCCAGCTTACAAGTGCATTGCGGGTATGAAACGTAACACGCGCCACGAGCCACGCCACCACACCACCACCCCTTTCAGATAAACTCGTTTGAGGGCGCGACAGCGATGTTGGGGATGGAAGGTGCTCGCGTCTGGATGCGTGGCGTGGCAAACGGATGCTTCAGGCACGTGCGCGTCTCCGCGTACAGCGACAGCTGTCGACTGCCACTCTCAATGACCTTGTTTGTGACCAGGCTCGCATACAGCTGCTCCACGGTGAGCCGTGGCAGTAGCATGCCCTCGTGCATGTCGTCGAGATAGAAGCGGTAGTCCGAGTCGGCGTTGTCGCGCGTGCCTTCCGGGTGAATTTCCAGCATGAGCTCGCCCAGCGTCATGGACGACGGCACATACGGCAGCTTGATGTCAATGTCACTGCCGTGCACCACGACCTCAAACATGGTGTCGGGCTTGGGTGGGGGTGGGAGCTGACGCGCCTGTGGCGCTGGCGATGCCGGCACTGGCTGCTGCTGATGCTGCGGCTGTGGCATGACTGTACACAAGAATGACAAGAATGACAAGAACAAAGGGTCACGGCGTATGCAGCATGAGATGACGAGTACGATAGGATTGGGGCAACACGACCAGGGCCCACGATGCAAACTTGCGTTGCACCTCGCACCCCCTTCACTTACAAGTACACTGAACAGCATTTCATACGCACACACGCACGCATACACACCAGTTCATGCATTGGCTTTGACTTACAGCCGTACGACGCTGGGCTGCGCGGGTCAGACCCGGCGTGTCCAAAAGCAATGCGCGGCGTCTGCGCTTCGCTCTCATAGTCGCTGGCATCTGGTGGTGCAAGCTGCATGCTCGAGCCAGCGCGGCCAAGCACAAAGAACGTCTTCATCTCGCCCTTGCCCTTCACGGGCACCGTGCCGCGTTTCAGAATGTTCCAATCATCCTTGTTGGGCAGCGCCTTGATGAACGCATAGCTCACCTTGATTTGTATAGTTACGTGTGTGTGTGTCATGTGCGTGCGCCAGTGTGTGTGTGTGTGTGTGTGCATATGCAGGAGTGAGTGCGTGTGCGTGTGTGTGTGTGTTTGTGTGTGGGAGTGGGGAACGACACACCAGCGAGCCATTATGTACGCATTGGTATGATGCGCAACACATCTCACCTGCACGGCACCGCCAACGCCAGTCGACTCCATGCGTGATGCCACGTTCACCGTGTCGCCAAACAGGCAGTAGCGCGGGCGCTCGCGGCCAACTGAACACATGGATGTTTCGTGGGCACGTGAGGTTGAAACTCCCGAGCAAATCAGATGCATACATATACATACACACATACAACGTCTGCTCAACCACCATACACGCCACAACAACAACAACAACAACAACAACAACAACAACAACAACAACAACAACAACAACAACAACAACAACAACAACAACAACAACGAGCGCATCATCATGACCACCACTACCAACACCAACACCACCAACACCAAACATCATCATCATCACCACCAAACATCACCAACACTACCCTCATCCTGATTGTCACCACCATCCAACGCACCGACTCCTGCCATGATGCGGCCGCTGTGCATGCCGACGCGAATGTTGATTGGCTCGCCGTCCATGGGACTGATGACCGTCTCAGCGGCTGCCACCATCTCCACAGCAAAGGCAGCAATCACGTCTGCGTGGCGTGGGTCTGCCTTGGGCAGGCCTGACGCAACCTACGGTGGGCATTGGTTGAAGGCACAAGCAGCGCGGATGCATGGATGCGGTGTGAGTTAGGGTCATGTACAAGACAGCAGCTACGACAGGTTTAGAGCCACGTCACGGCAAGTCCACGCATCGTGCATGCCCGCACCACACCCAGTGAACAACACACACACACACATATCACAAAAGCTGACGCCCGCGCACCCTACACAGTAGACAATCACACAACCCGCACACACACACACACACATGCGCACACCATGTATGCGTCGCCGATGGTTTCGACTTTGTACACGCCGTGCTTGGTGCACAGGGCATCAAACTTGGAGAAGAGCTCGTTCAGCATGTCCATCACCTGGCAATGTAACGAATGTGCGAGCGCAACCGAGTTGGAGAGCGGTGGCGGAAGACAGTGTGAGCGAGATTCGGTGCAGCGGAGTGTACGGACATGGCGCAGCAAACTGTACCAGGGTCCCATGACACGCGAACAACTGAACGTCCACATGAACAAATGTCCACATGAACAAATGTCCACATGTGCATCTATCCACACACACACACACACATATATACAAACACACAAACACACGCACCCAAACATACAGTTACACGTCCATACCTCGCGCACGGGGACGCTTGAGGAGATCTTGGTGAAGCTGACAATGTCCGAGAAGAGGATGCTGACGGCCTCGTAATGCTCGGGCTCGGGAATCTCGCCAGCCTTAAGCGCTTGTGCAACTTGCTGTGGAGGATCGGTGGAAGTGGTCGTGCCACGCACAGTGGTGAGTGTGGTGGGAGTCCACGCAGGAAATGAAGTGCACGCACTCGCGCGCACACATGCACACGCACACACACATGCACGCTCACGTATATGCACGCACGCTCACATACGCACACTCACACATGTATGCACGCACACGCACATAAAATTACACACACTCACATACACACGCACACACACATGCACGCTCACGCACACATTTGCACACTCACATACACACGCACACACTCATGCAATCGCCCCGCGACCCTCTCCAGCACACACACACACACACACACATACACGCATGTGACAGACCGTTGGGAGGATGCTGTGCAAGAGGCCGTCAACCCGCTCCTTCTCCTTGTCGAGATCCTCCATGGCCTTGTCGAGCGAAGCCGTCGTGTTTTGTAGCGTCTGCGCCATCAGCACCGTGGCAGACTGGTGCGCCGTGCTGATGACAAGCTCCCGCCCGTTGCTGTGGATGGGGATGTCTTCCAGACAGATGTCCAGCTTCTCCATCTCCTCCAGGCTGCTGATGGTTGGAATGCACAGGAACAGCATTGCGTCGTGCTCCGGGCTGAACACAAGCTCGCCCTTGAGAAACAGGCCGTCCTTGAGGATGGTGATGCCGGAAATCGGGTCCTTCCCGCCATCGTCAGGGAACACCCCCGGAAGCGCCGTATCGTCGTTCACACCACTCCCCTGCGCGCTCTTGTTCTTGTTCGCCTCCGCTGTATCGCTGTTGCTGCTACTGCTGCTTGTGCTGCTGCTGCCGGCGGACGTGCTCTGCGAAACAGAGTTGCCCCTGCGCCGCCGCGTTTGATTCGGCTTTGGCGTCGTGGCGCTGCCGGTGGTGCGCGCAGCAGCAGCAGCAAAGGGGCACCCGGAGGGCGGGGCTGTGCTGGCGTCGCTGCCAGGTGGAACGGCACACGCTTGCACGAGAAGCGGGCTGTGGTCAAACGACTCCAGCAGGCTGTCAAACCCAAGGCCGCGGATGTCTGGTCGCACCACGCGCATGAGGCGGAAGAAAGGCTGGCCAACACCACCGGCAGGCAGGCGCTCCTTCAGGCGGGGGCCGACGCTGGTGATGGTGAACGTGCGATCGAACGAGATATGCCAGGGGAACACCGAATCCACCATGGACGGCCCAAAAGTCAGCTGCCCGCTGATGGCGTGCGCCTTTTCCGAGTCAAAGTACTCCTTCTCTCCATAGCCCCTGTGGGTGACCGTGATATGTATGTGTGTGTGTGTGCATGTGGTTGATACAGTTAGCGTGCGCAGCGGAAGTGTGTGATGTGTTACGTAATGTGTGTGACGCAATGTGTGTCGGTGTGTGTGTGTGTGTGTGTGCTCCAAGTTCGTGCATAGTAGGTGCAATATGACAGGCATCACGAGCAACAACGGAAACGTCATCTCGATTCGCAGACAACGACGATTGAATCAGCAAGCAGAGCGTGCAAGGGCATGGCCAGGCAAGGGCGCATGGGAGCATCTGTTTGCTGAACGTACTCTGGCCCCATGAAGATGTGGAACACGTCGTGGTCGTGGTCCTGGCCCTTCTTCTTCACGTGCTTGAGCTCAATGTCGAGGCTGTACACCTTCTTGGCAATGTCCTTGAGCAAGGCGATGGCATAGGGGTAGATGCCCATGCGCGACGAATAGTAGTGCAGCAAGAGTGAGCCATCCTTCTGCCTGTGCGGCTTGAAGGAAGGCCCCTTCATGGACGGGTACGCGTTCACGATGTTCAAGTGCATCGAGTCCAGATGCAGCAGCAGCTCGTAGAAGTTGTCTCCAAGACTGTTTGTATGCGTTGCGTGTGTGTGTGTGTGTGTGTGTGTGTGTGTGTGTGTGTGTGTGTGTGTGTGTGTGTGTGTGCGTTGCGTGTGTGTGTGTGTGTGTGTGTGTGTGCGTAGGTATGTGTGGTGTGACATGTTGGTGGTGAAATCTACCACCTGCATTAATGGATGCGTGTCATTACCCATGCTGAAAGAAGGCAGGACAAGGAAAGTGGCGCACCTTTGGACGAGGGGCAGGTAGCCCTTCTCCACGAGCACGCCGACCTGGAAGAAACCAATCTGAGACAGGCACTCCTCCGCGTCGATGCCAAGCACCTTTGTGTGGTTGTCAAGGTCCCAAGGTGCACAGAGGGAGGGTGAAGAAAGTGAGCAGCCATACCAGTCTGGTGGTAGGTCCGGTGGAGGGCATGTGGAACAGCCGCGAGGGAGAGTGCAAAGGCGAGTGCAATGTGCTGTGGTGGCAGCTGAGCGGCGCGGCTCAAGGGTTCAGCATGATTGTCTTGAGATTGCTCGAATACCTTTGCGGCTGAGACGACCATGTTGAGGGTGTGCTCGTCCGAGTATGCATGGTGGAAGTTGACTGCGGTGTGCGTGACGTTGGCCTCCCTGCGAATGAGGTCAAGCTTCTCCTTGCCATCTGGGAGAGACAGCACGTAGGCGTTAAGTGCCTCTTCCACAAACCCGTACCTGACAAGCACCGAGCAATGGAAAGCCACCGTAAGCAATGGAGCCAGGGTCAATGAGAGAGAGAGAGTATGTGTGTGCGTGTGAGAGTGAGAGAGTGTGTGTGTGTGTGAGAGAGAGTGAGAGAGTGTGTGTGTGTGTGAGAGAGAGAGTGTGTGTGTGTGTGCGAGAGAGAGAGAGAAGGGGGTGGTGATTGTTCGTTGGTACCACGCTTTGCAGCGTGAGGGGAAGGCAGTGAGCATGGTGTGTGAGCATGGAATGGGTGTCGTGGTTGTGTAGAGGGTGATGATCTTTCGTGACGACCCATGACATCCACAAGCTCATGATACTCTGGTTTCGACCTTCAAAGCTTCAACGAGCCTCCAACCATCACCAAACGAGCAGACCAGAGGCATGCTTGGCGAGGGGGTGGGGGATGATGGTGGTCTTACATGGTGGTGGATCACTTGCTGCTGAGCTTGTGGAGAAGCCCGAGAGTTGTGGGGGGGGGTGCGAAGGGGACGCTGTGCGCAAGTGTGTGAGCTGGAGGATTTGCAGGGGAAGCGTATCGTGGAGAAGGAGGAGGTGATGCAAAACAAACAGTTCAGATCTGCGCCTTGTCTCCTTGTGTGGTGTGGAATCGCGAGGAAAAAATGCTCATCGCAGGGTGTGCGTCGAGGCGGCACAACAACAGAGGACGTGAACCGACAACACAACAACGGAACATCGGCCTACACCGACACGAGACCAGGGAAGGAATGCTTCCAAGGCTGCGCTCATGAACACCGAGCGCTTGCACCACCACCCTCTCATGAAGGTGAAGTGCAACAATCGTTCAAAACAAGACAACTCTAACTTCAGCCATCAAATTGTTGTGGCGTGTAGCTGACGTGCAGCTGCTTGGGGTGACGTGCAGCCTTGTGTTTTGCCCGAGCCTGACACGGCAACTTTTATTGCGCCCACGTTTCATGAAGCGGTCGAAACGTTTGGGCCTCGACATGTGTTGATGTCATCGGAGCCTCGCACTGGCGAATGTGGCGAATCGTAGGTTGCCGTCCCTTTTATGCTGTCGCATTCAAAATCAGCGTCCGCCCGTGTTTGTTGTTGTCTTGGCGGCTGTGTGTGTTGTGACGGACGACGATGAGCCACTCGCTGTCGCAGCACAATCGCAAGGCGGCGAAACCGTCGCCGCTCGCGCACAGCTCGGCGGACGTACCGCCTTCACACCGCCACAGCATCAATGCGCCCCAACAGGCCAGGTCGCAGCAGCCACAGCACAACAGCAAAGGAAGGAATCGCGCACACGCCAGCGATGACACCAGCAGCCATGCTTCCTCCAGCCACACCACAACACAATCACAACACCAATCACAGCAATCACAGCAAGCACAACAGCCCCAACAACCCATGCACAGCCAGCACAGCCAGCAGCTACAACAAGAAGAGCAACAAGAACCTTTGGTGGACATAAACAGCGATCCCACCACTCCCCTATTGTCGCACACCGATAACCACCAGCACCAGCAGCACCAGTCCCATCGGCGCTCCAAGAGCCTGCGGCAGGGCACGTTCACGACCGAAAGCAATGATGTCGTTGAGTGGGTTGACACCACCCAGCATGGTTCTGGGGAGGAGGGCCCAGTCAGCTCTGTGCGGTTTGCCCTGCGCATCACCGCGCTCTCCATCCTCTGCGTTCTCTTTGGCATCTCAAACAACGTGACCTTCTTTGAGATGGGTCAGCGTATGAAGGACTACCCGGTCTTCCTGCTCTACTTCACCACCATGGCCTATACCTTCCTGTACTTTGTCTGGGCGGTGTTCAACGCGATTTTCCTGGCCGATCGCACAGAGTCCCTACCCAAGTATCTCCTTGGCGCTTCATACCAGCGCTTGGTGCGTGTGCGTATTTGGCTGTGTGTTCATGTGTGTATTTGACTGTGCGTGCATGTGTATGTGTGTGCGGTTGGTCGCTTTGGTGCTTGGTTGGTTGTTGGTTGGTTGGTTGCCTTCATGTTGTGTTCTTACTCACTTTCGCTGCAATATGCATTGATGACCCCGGTTCAGTTTGCATGGCTTGGCTTCTGGCTGACTGTGAACGGTCTCCTCAGCCAGTTTTCAGACCCTCACGTTGACGGAAACCTCCAGTCCGTGTTGTATCAGGTGAACACCCGCACATGCGTGCTGTATCGCTGGCATGGCACTCGCACACCACGATCTGCGCTCCTCTGAAACACACACACACACAATTTTTTTTCGCTCTCTCTCACCCACCCTCCCCGCACACACACACACACACACACACACACACACACACACACACACACACACACACACACACACACACACACACACACACACACGTTTTTCTTTGCTCTCTCTCACCCACCCTCCCCGCATACACCTACCCCCCCCACACACTCACACACTGACAGTTGACGCTGCCTGCGACGGGCACCCTGGCGTACTTCATGCTGCGCGAGCGATTCAGCCTGCTGAACCTGGTTGGCTCTGCGCTTGTGCTCGGCGGATGCCTCATGGTGGCCCTGCCACCCCTCCTCAAAGAAGAAGACGTGAGTTACCACCAAGCACGCCTGTTTCCCTTACCGAGGTTGCTCACACAACAACTGCACCATTATGCGTAGCTCGTGCTTCCTTCGGATCGACACACACGTACACGTGCACACCATCACACTGGTTCACTCACACGCACACACACACACACCATCTCACTGTTTCACTCACACGCACAAACACACGCACATACTCACATACTCACTTCCTCACACCCATACACGCTGGAACAGTCACACAGCAGCAACAGGACGACGACAGTAGCACCAAGTATACCGCCAGCAGTTGGCGTGGGTGGCGATGATACGGCATCAGCGGACGGTGGCGCTGAATGGGTGCGTCGATGATGGTCGATGTGTCCAAAGTTGTCACGCGCGTTGGATCACTTGGTGCTGCTGCTGCATGTGCGTGTGTGTGTGTGTGTGTGTGTGTGTGTGTGTGTGTGTGTGTGTGTGTGTGTGTGTGTGTGTGTGTGTGTGTGTGTGTGTGCGTGCGTGTGTGTGTGTGTACTTCCCTCTGTGTTTTCACATATCATCTCATGGTTGTTTGGCGTCCTCACACACAACCCTCCCCCCAAACACACCACACCACTGCATGGACAGATCTGGATCATTGTGTTTGCGCTGTCGGTCATCCCCAACGGCGTGTGTGCGGTCATCCAGGAATCGCTGTTTCGCGACCATTCGCACGTGGACACTGTTCTCCTCCTCTTTTGGTCCAACTTCTACACCCTCTTTGGCTACGCCCTCGCCCTTCCCCTCACCATGCTGCCCTACCTCGGCCACCAGGTCAGCCGCGTCGCGGGTGTGTTTGTGTTTGTGTGTTTGTGTGTGTGTGTGTGTGTGTGTGTGTGTGTGTGTGTGTGTGTGTGTGTGTGTGTGTGTGTGTGTGTGTGCGACTCCCTGTGCGCGTGTATATGTTCGAGTACATGTACACCTACGTGTGCGCGTATATGTGCATGCACGTGAGGATTTCCAAGCCCGCACCACACACACCAGTCACTCTCACGTCCTCTCCATTCACAACACCCCCTCCCCAATCCCTGCAACACACATTCACCACCACCGTTGTTGTCGCTGGCAGACGGCCAAAGGTATTGCTCGCCACGAGCGCGACGCCTTCCGCTGTCTCACTGGCTCATCCCCACTCCCGCCAGGCTGCGAACAGGTGCAGTTGTGGGGTTGATCATGTGGTTGTGTTCGTGTTTGTATTTGTGGGTGTGGTTGTGTCTTGAGTGGTTGTGTGGTGCGTCTTGGGTCATGTGATAATGTTCACGCGTGTCTGTGTGTCGTGTGCACTCATGCGAAACTTTTGACTGCTTCTTGTTGCCACCACCAGGATGCATTTGTTCCCGTCCTTGCCTTTGTCGTCTCCTACATGGGCTTCTTCTACTTCCTCGCACAGCTTGTTAAAGAGGTGCGCCCGCGAGTGTGAATGTGTGTGTGTGTTTGTGTCTGAGAGAGAGAAAGTGTGTGTGTGTGTGTTGTGAGAGAGACAGAGAGAGAGTGTGTGTGTGTGTGCGTGAGTGAGTGGATGAGTGTGCCTGTGTGTGAGTGAGTGAGGAGTGCTTCCCATCCCAGCGCAAATGACATCGCACAAACACACGCACGCACTACCTCACACACCCCATTCACCCCCCCCCACAATCCTCCCTTCCCCGCACAGGTTGGGGCGGTGTTTGAGTCGCTGGTGAACGGCGTGGTGACGCCTGCGAGTGCGATTGCATTTGGGATGCGGTGGCTTGTCAAATCCGACACAGAGCCGCTGACGGGGTGGGTCATATCTGCCAGCGTCATCGTGCCCCTCGGCGTGCTGCTGTACAAGGCCGACGAGCTCAAGACGTACGATCAGCACAGACGAGGCGGGGCGAGGAAGAAGTGGGGTGGATGGATGAGGTGTCAGGGAGCGGGTGCGTAGGAATAGGGGCCGTCATGTAGTAGACATGTGCGGTGTATTCAGTGCTGATCTGTGCTCTGTGCACCCCACATTCACACACACACTCACATGGCAAGCACGCTCACTGCATACGATGGTACATGTGTGTGGGTCGCTCCTTGTCTCTGCCGCTCTATCTGTCTGTCTGTCTTCCTGTCTGTCTGTCTGTCTGCCTGTCTGCCTGTCTGTCTGTCTGCCTATCTGCCTGTCTCTGTCTCTCTCCACGCATCTCCCCGCCCCCTCCAATCTCTGTCTCTGTGTCTCTGTCCAGGTATTTGGGGTTTGGAAGCGAAGGTCAAGAGCTGCAGACCGTGCACACGCACAAAGGAGGGCGTGGCAGCACCAGCAGCAGCAGCAGCAGCAGCGGCGGCGGCGCAGCAGATGCCGGCTTTGACGTTGGCATTGTGCCCGTTACAGACTACCTCGAAAGCGGCACGCATGGCCATCACGATGGCGACGACAACACGCCGCTGCTCTCTGGCCAGCGGACGGGGACCGGGTCTGTATCTGCGCCGCGGTCGCGTCGACTGTCACCGGCGTCATCCCCGCTTCTGCCACTGCGGTTTGGCCACAGCACGGTGGCGACGCTGCAGGCTGCGCTGATGGTGGACAGCCAGTCGGAGGCGGCCAGGCGCAGGTCACGCTCCTTCTCCAGGTAGATGCCACCTCGCCAGGGGACATGCGAACGCGTGTGAGAGGGCGTGTAAAGGTGTGAATGACAGGAGATGTGTACATGTACGTGTGTGTGTGTGTGTGTGTTGGCCGGACAGAGGACATGCGAGGATGTGATGTGAGAGAAGATGTGTGCACTTGTGCGTGTATGTAAAACACGAAACAAATGGACACGGGTGTTTCGGTTGTTGTCATTCCATCTGTCTGTATTAGTCCTTTCTTAGCTTTCCCTTTCCCTTTTGGTCTGCGTGCGTTGCACCCATTAAACGACCCCAAAGCAGACATCAATGACTTGCTGTGGGTGCTGACTCGTGATGACTGTGTGTACCTGTGACATGTGACATGACAACATGTGACAGGACAGTGAATGGTCATGTGGATGGATGGATGGCAGAACGCAACGCATCCCAACAAAACAAAAAAGAGCGCGAGCAAAAACACACAAGCAACAACGCACGACCACAACAGGACAACAGGAGAGACAAGATGCAAGTCGTGGTGCTTGTGGTGATGATGGTGATGGTGTTGGAGGCACCATGTGCGACGATGGCACAGCAGACAGGACATGCTGTGTGTTCAGTGGAAGACCACCTCCACCACAACCACGAAGTGAAGTGCTCATACGAGCACATTGAGCGAGTGCGCGCAACGAATCACATGGCACTGGTCATCGACGTTGGTCGAGCAGCAACCACTTTCCACGTCCTCGACATCCAAACTGAAGGGTGCGTGTGCATGTGTCGTGTGTGTGTGTGTGTGTGCTAGTGTCGTGTGTGATGGTGTGCATGTGTCGTGTGTGATGGTGTCGTGTGTGATTGTGTGTGTGTGTGTCGTGTGTAAGTGAGAGAGAGTGTGTGTGTGTCAGTCTGATGTCTGGTTTCGTGTGCTTGTTGAAGCTGTCACATCACACATGTAATGCGGACACTGTCCTGCTCACTGCCAAACGTGTTGTTGTGTTGCGCTTGCT